TATTCATTACTAATCTTGTATTTCTTCATTATCGACTAAGTTGTTATTTCTGGTGTTAACATTCATTATTCATTATAGATTAAGGGATCTATGGTATTGGATTCATTAGCTTAAACTAAAATAATATTTAGGCTTCAAAAAATCACGATTACTTGTAAGCAATAATTTAATCATCTACAAAGCATGTCTAGGTTATGATTTTCCATGTAATGCAATATGGATACCAAAGGTGACGATGAAAGTGTGTGTTTTCACTTGCTTAGCTGCTTGAGGGTTGATTTGGTAGTGGAAAATTTTAGAGAGCGAAAGGTTGTATGCGCAAGTTGGTGTTATATGTGTAAGGAGGCGGGCGAGAACATGGATCATCTTCTTATACAATGTCGGTTGACTATGAGGTTATGGTGGAATATGTTTAGGTAGTTTGATACTTCATAGGTAATGTCAAATACTGTGAAAGAGTTGAGATTCAGCTTGAAGATTGGGAGGAGAAAACGAAGGGCTTGGAACATGGTTCCACTTGCATTAATGTGAATTGTTTGGAGAGAAATAAGAGTGTTTTTGAAGGAATAGAATCGAGTTTCTCTTAGTTGAGGAGTATATGTTCCCTTGTTTTCTTTGGATGCACATAAAAAATTCCTTGTTGTATAGATGATTGGTGAAGTTTGTAGAGAATCATATTGTTTTGTAGATTATTTAGCTTTTGGTATAAAACCTGTATATGACTACTTATGGCCATGTTTATGAATGAAACTAGTACTACTAATTAAACATGTTTTCTTTCATTATTATACATTATTATATTATAAAATCAGACCAATACAGAACAAAGTCTATGAATGGCAGCTGAATAGAATAGGAGGTGTAAAGCCAAATTTTAAAAAAAAGAGATTTTATGCTTATTTATAGTTACATGTATATTTTTTATTTTCATAATTTTTTTAATATACATGATAATTAATTATTATTTTTTAATTGTCGGCATAATATTTTATGTAATAATTTGTAAGGCATGAATATGCATATATAAATTATTATACGTTATATAACACTACATATGTTTATACCTTAGATAAATTATTATTGATTATAGTTTTGAAATGTTTATCAATTGAACCAATTGTTATACAAACTATCAAATATTCTAGAAGTAGTAGGAGCATTAAAAAAATTTGAGACTTCACGTGATTGAGCATGTCCATTAGAGCATCAACAACACTTACACTTACAGAAAAGACTATTCTACGACCAGCCGCCTACTTAATTACACTTCCAGCATGACATTAAGCAAGTTCCCTTCTTTTTACTTGTATATATTTCGTATTACATTAAATTACAAAAATACGTCTACATCATACTGATTGTTACGCTTTAGAAGGCATTCAAAGTAGTTAAGATAATGTCTTTTTAAATTTAATCATTTGATAATTTAATTAGCTTGAGCTTGAAATGTCTAGGAGACACCTCAAATAATATATTGAAGATAGTCTCACAAAGCCAATTTTAAAATATGATTGATTCAAATTAAAGTGAATAAGACAAATTAAAAAGTAGAAAATAACTGCAAATTTAATTGAAAGGAAATTTCAATTAATACTAACAATAAGTATATAATTAGTTTTTTTTTTTTTTTATATATATACACTACCATTCACTAAATTTGAGGCCCTATTATTCATGGTCCTAAAGTTGTCGTTTCGGTGGCTTTAATTTAGGGTTGAGACGCCTCCAGCAGATTATAAGATCATGTGAGAGTTATTCTTTCTTTTTTTATTTTACTAATTTTCGAACACGTTTGTCGCACGTGTATTTTATGCTAATAAGTATTAATGTTTTAAAATAATATAAATAATATTGAAATATGCATGTGATGAAAATTGTAAGAACAAAATACAAGTGCGAATTAATGAATGATTTGCTATAATTTATTCACAAACGCTTCGATATGTGATACCTCAAATTTTTTGATAAGACACTACGTCATGCCTCTTACCCTTTGAAAATGTAATCCTCCGCAATAGAGACGGAGTTACGAGTTTATTTGAATATAGCAGCTTTGATATATATAATAAAAAAATATTAATTATTTAAAAGTAACTTAATTATTATTATAATATATAAATAGAAAATTTATTAACTTTAAAATTTGAATTTGTCAACCATGGCTTAGCCGTTTAGCATAGATTTACCTTTGTCCACGACTTTCAAGTATGACTCAATCAAACAAACATACTCTTTTTTCTTAACATAACACTTTTCAATATTATGCGTTATTATTATATACTCTTTAAAAAAAAAAGAGCAATGTACAAAACAAGATAGACAAAAAGGAAGACAAAGATTTTATTTTTGTTTTTCGAAAAAGTTGTCTTATACATGACGTTAGTAATTAAGATTGTAAAGGAGATTATGAAGATCATGTGAGAGTTATTTTTTCGGTTTTAATTTACTTGTTTTATTTTGATTTAATATGAAATTTAAAAAAATATTTAAATGTTGAGTTCTTAAATTAAAAATATATAAAATATAATACGATAATTTTTAATTTTATAATCTTAAATATATAATGTGAAAAAATGAAATTAAAGAGTTGCAAAATAAATTCCTTTTAAATAAATTAATTAAAAAACAAGACAAATAAATTAAAACGGATAAAGTATTTGGCTATATACAAGACTCAACAAGCACATAGCTCGGGGACGACATATCAACTTGAGTTGTATGCTTGTAGTGAACCCCGGCCCCTTCAATACATTTTTAGTTATTTGTTTTGATCTGTTATATATCTGAAATCATGTTTTAAAGTATTATAAATTAAAACAATTAACAATAAAAAATATTCGGTTATATATATTTAAAAATTGTGTAAAAAAGACTACCAATCACAATATAACAAATTTATTTTATGTTTTTTCTATTTCAAAAAAAATATGTGTAGGGTTTTGTAGGAGGACCGACTGTTGTGTATGCCATATGAAGTCGGGGATTGAAATTAGTGCATTCCAAGATTTTGATAAACACCTTAATTGGAGGAGAGATTTGGGTGGGAGCCTTGAGATTTTGATAATACATTTTTTAAAAAAGGTATTTCAGCACAGGTCTCAAGAGGGAAAAAATTCAACTCGCTGATGTATCATATTTTGACAGTGTAATACCATTGAGATCACCTCTTGGATTGCCAGATTATTTCTATTGTAGGATCATTGGTTTATGCAACGGCGTTCTCGGCATGTTAGATGATTTATTAGAATATAGAAGTCGTGTGGTACTTTGGAATCCTAGCATATCCAGATGCCTCACCCTCCCAATGAATCCTCTTTGCTGTGACAACTCAGGGACTTACACGTTTGTCCTTGGATTTGGCTTTGCTATTAAAACAAGAGACTACAAGGTTGTGAGGATGGCCTATGCTCATGGTGATGTCAATACTTGTTGCCACCTAGGGTTGAGATTTATGCACTTAGTTCAGGAATCTGGAAGGATTTTGATGGTTCTATATCAGATATTTGTGTCGTAGAGTATTTCATGACACAGGTTGAAATTTGTGGGAAAGTCCACTGGACTGCATACGAGAGGAATGGGGAGAGAAAGGTGGAGAACTTGATTGTGATGTTTGATCTCAATTAGGAGATTTTTCAGGAATTATCATTACCAGAAATTTTGGTTAATGAACCCCTTACGAATTTAAATGTTGCACAACTTAGGGAATTACTTGTTGTGTATCATTTAATTTACCATAGTTTTAAAGTAGTGAATCCAAAATCAACAACAAAAAGTGAAGTTAATAATATCTACAACTAAAGTTACCAATTTTTTTTAAAAAGTTGAAACATCTACAACAATTCTAGTGAATTTAAAACATTTGAATGAATCAGAAGACATTGTTGCTGAGCTAAAGCGCCGCACTTATTCATTACTAATCTTGTATTTCTTCATCATTATACACCAAGTTGTTATTTCTGGTGTTAACATTCATTATTCATTACAGATTAAGGGCTCAATGGTATTGGATTCATTAGTTTGAACTAAAATATTATATAGGCTTCAAAAAATCATGATTACTTGTAAGCAGAAATTTAATCATCTACAAAGCATGTCTAGATTATGATTTTCCATGTAATGCAATATGGATACCAAAAGTGCCGATAAAAGTGTGTGTTTTCACTTGCTTAGTTGCTTAAGAAGTTCATGACTAATCAAGAAATAGATTCTCAGCAATTACCAAAATTTGATTATCTTAAGTAAAATGCAATGACTAGCACAATTAATTTTGAAAAATTTCATCTGACAAGAAAGCTAGCTCAAGTGGAAAGAGTTCTCCACCTCCAACCTTAAGGTTGGGCCGTTGGGTGATTGAGTCAGCAGGGTGGAGAGGACTAGTATTGACTCCTAGGGAGAGAGGGGTTTTGGGTTGGTAGATTTAGGTTAACATATAAAAAATAATTAAAAGATTCTAAACATTCAGATTAGTTGATCTAGTCAAATACGAAACCACAACTGTAGGAACACTCAAATTTATTAAAATCGCAATAATAATCATAACAATTGAAATAGACCAAACAACAAATAACTATGATAAAATAAATTGGAAAGGACTGAGAAGGCAAATAATCCATTTCCCCTATAAGTATGCCTAAACTTCATAACATTTGTTTGTTACTATTTCAGGCTCCAAGTAAAGTTGTGACACGCTCATGCATAACATGATGCTTCAGGAGTTCAAGTACCTGATCATTAACATCATTATCATCATCATCATCATAATCGTCGTCGTCATCTGTGGACTCCTCAGATGCTAAATCAACTGGAGGCAGTAACTCCCCTTTATCTAGCAAAACAAGGCTTTCCCTGTAATTCTCATAGTAAAAAGAGTACATAGTACCAGCAATAGTGGTTCTTTGCGTTGTTTGCATCTCAAGATTATACAAAGCTAGCATCCCTGTCATGTCTGTCAACAATATTTTACGACAATCAGCAACGGCTAGTACCATGCCCAAATTCCCCTAGCCCAGTGCAACATTATATTCTTTGCTCCATGAATCTATGTCTCCATACCTTTTCATTACCCAAATGGAGCAACTGCTGCTCCAAACACGTGTATCATACTGATACACAACAAGTAATTCCCCAAGCTGTGCAATATTTAAATTCGTAGGGGGTTCATTAACCAAAATTTCTGGTAATGATAATTCCTGAAAAATCTTCTCATTGAGATCAAACATCATAATCAAGTTCTCCACCCTTCTCTCCCCATTTCTCTTGTATGCAGTCCAGTAGACTTTCCCACAAATTTCAACTTGTGTCCAGAAATACTCTACGATACCAATATCTGGAATAAAACCATCAAAATCCTTCCAGATTCCTGAACTAAGTGCATAAATCTCAACCCTAGGTGGCAACAAGTATTGACCATCACCATGAGCATAGGCCATCCTCACAACCTTGTAGTCTCTTGTTTTAACAGCAAAGCCAAACCCAAGGACAAACATGTAAGTCCCTGAGTTGTCACAGCCAAAAGGAGTCATTGGGAGGGTGAGGCATCTGGATATGCTAGGATTCCAAAGTACCACAGGACTACTATGGTCTAATAAATCATCTAACATACAGAGAACACCGTTGCATATACCAATGATCCTACAATAGAAATAATCTGGCAATCCGATATTAAAAGGCGACCTTAATCGCATTACAGGGGTGTCGAAATTTGATACATCAGCGAGTCGAATTTTTTCCTTCTTGAGACCTGTGCTGAAATACCTTTTGAATAAATGTGTAGGGGGTTTTAGGAGGACCGATTGTTGTGTATGTAGCCATATGAAGTCAGGGCTTGAAATTAGTGCATTCCAAGATTTTGATAAACACTTTAATTGGAGGAGAGATTTGGGTTGCAGCTTTGAGAAGATTAGGACCATCATCTCTATTGGGAGATATTCCGACATTTTTCTTGGTTATGAAGTTGGGTGAAGTAGGGAGAGCTCTAGAAAGAGAGACTACTTGTTGGGTGTGGGCAGGTGTTTGAAGTATCAATAGTGACTAGAGCTTCAATGCAATGATAAGAAGTCAGAGGAAACATTATTTATACAGAGTAAAGAGAGAAAAGACTAGATTTTGTACCCAAAACAACAATTGGATTCTCATCAAGAAAGGAAAATTCTTTAATAACTTGCTTAAGATCTCTCCTCACATTTAGGTGACAAAATCTAAAGACTAACTTATGTACCAAAAACAACAATTAAATTCTCATCTAGAAAGGAAAATTCTTTAATAACTTGCTTAAGATCTCTCCTCACATTTATGTAACAAAATCTAAAGACTAACTTATGTACCAAAAACAACAATTGGATTCTCATCTAGAAAAGAAAATTCTTTAATAACTTGCTTAAGATCTCTCCTCACATTCAGGTAACAAAATCTTGAAAATTTATTTGAGATTAGCAATCAAAAAAATTAGGGGAAACGGGCAAATATACCCCTCAACTATGCAATTTTGAGCGGATATACCCCTTCGTTGAAAAAGTGATGCATATATACCCTCGTTGTCTAACAAATGATGCATATTTGGCCTTTTCCTTAACAGATTGTTAAAAAAAATAATCCTAAAACTGTTTGCTTAATTCCAAAAATGTCACGTGGTTTTCAAAAAGAGAATTTAAAAAAGGGAAAAAGGACAAATATATCCCCGAACTATAGTAAATAGTATGCAGATACCCTCCGTCATACTTTTGGGACATTAGTGCCCCTATTGTCAGAAAACTAGAGCATATATGCCCTTCACTCTAACAGAAGACTAAATAGGGACACATGACGCAATTTTATCCGTTGATCCGATATTTAATAAATGTTGGATCGGTGGATAAGATTATGACACATGTATGTCCGTTAGTATAAATGGTATATACACTCTAGTTTTTGGACGGCAGGGGCACCAATGTCCCAAAAGTATGACAGAGGATATCTGCGTACTATTTACGATAGTTCGGGAATATATTTGTCCTTTTTCCCTTTAAAAATGACTTATCATCTTAGAGATCTATAACTTTAGTTTGAGTATTTACAATTCATAGCTACTGTTTGGATTGCTACGCGGAAAAAAAACTTTCTCTCTTATTTCCTCAATCTCGCTCGCCTCTCTTTCTCTCTCCCTCTCTATATATATCCCCCCCCCCCCTCTCCCTCTTTGTATTTTGATTACCTCTTTATCTATCTCTTTGTATTTTCTCTACTCTCTTTGTATTTTGTATTCTCGTCATTCTCTCTCTTTATATATATATATATATATATATATATATATATATATTTCTTGAGGTATCATGCGAATGTATTTGTTGTATTCATATGTGCATTTAGGTTGTATCCTCTCTCTCTCCCTCTCTCATCCCCTCACTATATTTTCTATGTACACCCCTCTCTGTATTCCTATATTTTTTAGGTGTCATGCGACTGTATTTGTTGTATTAATAGTGCTTTTAAGTTAAACACCTAGTGTTTTTGTCTCTGATAGCATTTGAACCTGTGACCTCATGGTACTCAACCCGTTTCATTGACCACTAAGATTTTATTTGTTTTCATTAAGATATAGACGTCTGAATCTGAATGCACATCTAAATTATTAATATGTTGTATCTTGATTTGAATACTGAATGATTAAGACTATTTGTTGTAAGCATTTATCATTTTTCTATAGCCCTTCTTGCAGACGACATCCTAAATGACGTTGGCTTGGGTATTCGCAACATTGATTTCTCCGTCGTTTCATTACCTTAGCTGTAACCTTGCTCTGATACCAAATTGTCACAGACTTCTACTAAGCACATGTGAGGCACTTGACAATTTGCTCACGTTCTTGCACCACTTGCTCACAATCTTGCTATGCCAAGTCAGCCTAAAACTCTAGGAATTGCTAAGAGAATGGAAGAGAGAACACAAGACGATTGCTAGGAAAATTATTATTGTAGAGAACTTTGATTTTTTTGTTTTGAAAATACTGTATGTATTGTATAGTTGTACATAGAGTATCCATTGCCATACGAACAAAAATACGGCTCCCCATTACTAAAAAGCTTCAAAATGATACTAATAAAGAGTAGAAAATAAAGCAACCATCTCAACTAGAGATAAATACCGAAAAACATAACAATTTAAAAGATAAAAGCATAAGAGGGATTCAAGCCACGATCAACAACCACCACTAGTGCATTCACGGGCAAAGTGACCATCCTCACTACATTTGTAGCCACCGCCAGAGTATCTACCGCCACCGCTACCTTCACTCAGGCTACACTCCCTAGCAAATTGGCCAGACTTGCCACACTTAAAACAACCGCTTCCTCCTCCACACTGCCACCGTTGTCGTGGTGGAGGAGGAAGTTGTTGTTGTTTTAAGTGTGGCAAGACTAGCCGCTTTGCTAGGGAATATAGCTAGAGTGAAGGCGGCGGAGGTGGTAAATACTCCGATGGTGGTGGTCGAGGCAGTGGCAGTGGTTGCTACAAATGTGGTGAGGATAGTCACTTTGCCCGTGAATGCACCAGTGGTGGTCGTTGATCATGGTTTGAATCCCTCCTATGTTTTAATCTTTTAAGTTATGTTTTTTGGTATTTATCTCTAGTTGAGATTGTTACTTTATTTTCTGTTCTTTATTAGGTATCATTCTGAAGCTTTTTTGTTATGCGTAGTAGTATTTTTGTTCATGCTGCAATAGATACTCTCTGTATAACTATACAATACATGTTCACAGAGCAAAAATCAAAGTTCTCTACATGGAATATTGCACTGTGTGGTAGCCAGGATATATAGAGTACGTTCTTAAATATTTTGGAGTTCAATGGGTTAAATAGTGTCAAATAGTTTTAAGAAGGCTCTAGTGAGCTAGTCCCTATTCTACGGATTCAACTGAACACAATATTTCCACACGGAATACAAATATTTATGTGTGAACTGTGTTGGTACCGACCAGAATCCACTTATAAAAACTGAAAACCACATCAATTTATCAACCAAATCAAACATTGAACCGACGTGTATATAACTTCTAAATGTATAGGCATGTTTACTGAACTTATAATATCATAAAGTAGGACTTGCAGTTGCTTGGCTCACAAATGCAAGACTTGAAACATTACCTAGTTATAGTAAGGGCGTTGTTTCTGATGCAAACAACATAACAGCAAATACAATGTGCAGAAAATGCATTATAAAATGCATGCAACACACCTACGATACTAGTGTGTGAAACTTCCTTGCGTATAATACACCTCCTAAAGCCATAACCAACACAAACCTTTTTTTCCCATTACATAAGCATCGCCATCAGATTTTAAACCATAAACACTAAAGGTAGGATTCACGATCAGATTTTAAACCATAAACACTAAATGTAGGATTCACCATCAGATTTGAACCCACACTCTTCAATGCTCAACTTCCAGACCAACAAAAAGTTTAAGCAGCATTACAAATCCACCTGCAATGGATTGCAGCATTTCTAGTCATGCCTCCAAGAAGAATATATACAAAACAAAGCACGAGGAAAATAAACACACTCAAGCAGACAGAGGAACAAAATATCAAGCGAACAAAAAGAAAAATCTGTAAATTGAACGATCTTTTAGCTAAAAAGTCATCAAATGAGTTCTACGAGTGAAGAGCCAGAGCCAGAGCCACTGTTGGATTAGAGTAGTGTTTGTGCTATGGTACTTTGAGCATTAATACACCTGGAACCCAAGGTTCCGGATAAGAGTTCAAGGTGAAATCAACTAACTTTGACTTGCCAGATTATCCACTAGATAATTGAGATAACAAGAGTAATTATAGATCTATTATATAACAAGTATAACTTATTTAACAATCAGAACATCATCTCTACATAAAAAAGAAAAGGTTTGCAAAGATGCAGCTGAAGACCAAGACGAAGCAAGCAACATAAATGATCCACTGCATAATCTGATAAACCAACTGCTGAAAATATGACTTTTGCTTCTTATCATCCAAGAGAGAGCCCAGAAAACAACAATTCCAACTCCTCATCCTGTGAAGTGGTTCTCTGCATAAAATGTGAGACAATGAAAACATAAAACCCCCAATTCAAATGCTTAACAATTAACTCAAAGCCATAAGAAATCTATGATGCACTTATAAACAATACAACATCCCCGAGCAAGTTGTCAAGTGACTATAGAGATGTAGTTCTTCTCCCTCCTAAGAACAAACTTGTTCTTATACTAATCATGATGGTGAAACAAAGCATGCTAGACCAGCAAACATCAGAACAATTTTATCACAGTTTCTCCAACAATACAAGTAGCCTGGCATTGTATAATCACCAAATTGGTTGACTAGACCGACTAATGATCAGACAATGTGCCAAAACTTTCACGAGGGAGAGAGGAGAAAACATCCACAAGAAGACTTACAGATTGTGTGTGGTATGAATTTCAACCGAACCATTCTTCTCCAATAGGAGCAGAAGGGGCCTGAGCATGTTATAGGGAGAGGAAAATAGTAATAGGCCAATCTGTTTCAAAGGATCAAGAGAATTCCTAAATCTCTAGATATGAGGCCAATTTCTAGTCATACTGTTCTTTTAAACACACACAAAATCAAGCTAGTAACTGTTAATGTTATACAACTGATGTAGACCAGAATTCATACAGGAATATCTCTCGTTATTTCCTTGAATATACCCAAAATTGTAAGAAGAGCCTAATGCCAACAATCTTACAACTTAAGGTGACACTTATGCATGGAACACATTGAGAAAGTAAATGGCTTGCATTTTCCCCATACAGAGTAACTCAGCCATCTAGGATAGCAATAGAAGTCATCATCCACATGCTACAAAGTCACTAGCAATGTATCAAATGCTTGAGACCCTCCAGATAAACAATAATAGGCTGTGATCAGTGAATTTAACCCTGGATAATGTAGCATTGCAGTAATGAGACCTCAAGCATGATATGTCGTGTGCTCGAGTAGGATGTTTAAAAGGGTCTCCTTTTCCCATAGCTACTTATTTGTAGTACAGTAAAATACAACTACTATAAAACACGAGCAAAGGAGATCACAATGATCATATATCCTAAACATGCATACGCTCCCCCACCCCACCCCCATTGAATGTATGCACCATGTACCTGAATCGACAGAAGTTGCAGAATTTTGTTTAGGACACGCATCCGATGAGTTGCATATGCACTGCTTGGTGGAAGTCTACTCACTCTCTTCATTTCTTCATGAACTGCTCCCATTTTCCCTTCAGATCCCATCTGCCTAAGTGCATCATTAGAAGACTGGGTGCTAGGGAGGCCGTCTTTGGGAGGATTTAGGGAACAACTGTGATTAACTTGATAGGAATGATCCATTGAACCACCTATAGATAAAAGGACATATTTAAGCAAGGATAAAGCAGAACATCACAAGAGAAATGCTAGGTCAAACAGGCTCTAAGTTGAAATCCCTAACAAAAACCTAGATAGGCAAAGGGAATTGAACTTCCTAACACCTAGTTACGCTCAATACGTTGCACCAGTTCGGCAAAAAATTACGTAGTATATATAAAAGAAGTTTAACAAGATAAAGCAAAACGGAATTTCAGAAAACGAGATAAATACCTAAACGACGGCAATTGAAATTCACTGCCGTCTCCGGTTGCCGATCGGAAAATCTTTTGCGTCAAGAGAACGTAGTAGCGACCGTATCTAACAATCCAGAATATTTCGGGTTTCCAGAAAACCGGAGATTCTCTCCAGAGTAAAAGAAAACGATCAAAGTTTGAAAAATGTTACATTGACCCCTTAAGAATTGTATGGTCTCAGATATACCCTTATGCGATGTTGGAATAAGTGTCTTAAAAGGCGTGAGTCGAAACATTTTATTTATATGATACGATAAATTTCAAAATAACCCCTGAGGCTCGTCTTAGAAACACTATTTAGAACATTATTTGGGACTCACTTCGGACGATGTACATATAGAATGATGCTTTGAGACTCACGTGTGAATATAGTTCGATGAGGTTTACTTTCCAAACACTCGTTCAACACTTTAGGACTCACTTAACCGTTTACTAAAATCATATATCAAATTCTCTAATTAGCATTGTTAGACCTTAAGTTAAGTTCTTAATAAACTACGGTTACGAAGTACAAAACTGAAGTTATTGTCATAAAAAATGTCAGGAATAATACAAGTGAATAAAAAATATTTCTTCTACTCTATATTAACTGAATTTTTGAATTTTTTTTTTAATTGTTCAATATAATTAAACTGTTCAAAGTTCAAGATGAATGGTTATTTTTTTCATATTTGCCCTTTCCTTTAATAAAATTCGGTATTTTCTAGAAGATAAAATATTGCACTACTTGCAAAGGACAATAATGGAAATTATTATTTAAATTATGTTCTCGAATAATCTTTTTAATAAGTGTAAATATGGAAAATATGGAGTAATTAGGAAGGAGTTCAACTTTGATCTACACCGTTTATTGACTATAACATCAAACGGCTCAAACTCACGATCCGCGTCATTCAAAAGTAACCAATGAACAGCAAGCCCCAAACTCATATATAATAAGTCTCTTCATCCCTTTCACTTCCCACAATTCAAACTCAAAAGCCCTCCAATTTCTTACTGAATTCCGAAATTTCCCCTTCAATGGCACCAAAGGCAGAGAAGAAACCCGCAGAGAAGAAGCCAGCAGCTGAGAAGGCTCCTGCTGCCGCCGCTGAGAAATCAAAGGCCGGCAAGAAGCTACCCAAGGACAGCGGAGCCGCTGCTGCCGGAGCCAAGAAGAAGAAGAGGTCGAAGAAATCGATCGAGACTTACAAGATCTACATCTTCAAGGTGTTGAAGCAGGTTCATCCAGATATAGGAATTTCAAGCAAGGCTATGGGAATCATGAACAGCTTCATCAACGATATCTTCGAGAAGCTTGCTCAGGAATCTTCTAGGCTTGCTAGGTACAACAAAAAGCCTACCATCACTTCTCGGGAGATTCAAACCGCTGTCCGATTGGTCCTTCCTGGTGAATTGGCTAAGCATGCCGTCTCTGAGGGTACTAAGGCAGTTACCAAATTCACTAGCTCTTAGAGATGTGGTAGTTTTGTATTGATTTTTCTGTTGGGTTTAAGATTTTCAGTTAGCGTTTTGGTGATGTAAAGAACAGGAAAATTGAATATAAAATAGATTTTATGAAATTGACGCTACTCTTTATATATAGTATGATTTAAATTACATGCATATTGAATAACAATAAACAATATCAAAATAATTCGATAACCAAAAACACAATAAATAATAGGCTAAATGGTCTGGTGGATCTTTATATTTGTACCCGTTTGTATTGTGAACCCTTCTACTTATCATTTTGTCATCTGAACCCCTGAACTCATTTAAACTCAACATGTTGAACCCTTTCAACACATCGTGACTCTCAATCGCGCTGATGTCACATTCCATGTAAGATAAATTTTGCCACATCATTTTTAGTTTTTATAATAATTTCTTTTTGGACCAAAATCATAAAGTTTTGATTCAAACTTTACAAAAACAAATTAATTATTCTTCTAAATTAAAAATTTGGGTCTCCCTACATCAACCATTTTCACTGTGAAAAGGCCCAATCGCCGGAGAAATTTGCCGCTGCCACCACTCCTCTTGCCGGCGAGACCACAAATACTCTCTCCCTCATCTGTCTCCGTCTTCGTCGCACACTTTCACCATTTTTCTTACCTCATCCTTCTCCAACCTCCACAAATCCAAAAACCATAAGCCGCCGCACCAGCTCATTGCCCCTCACCAGCCTCGTTTCCCTCTCCACCGTCTTCATTTTTCCGTACCATCGACGACTCCTGCGAACCACCAGGGACCCCCTATGCACTCCATCCTTTTCGGCGTACCAGAAGGCCAGAAAATTCCTTGCTGCCTCCGGTATACTAGCATACTCCTTGCCGCCTTTGGAGTACCAGACCACCTAAAGAAGATGAAAGAAAGAAAAAAAGCGGGTTGGAAAAAAAATGGAGATGGCTGAAAAAAGTGGGTCATTTGGTGAAGAAGAAGGGTTTCAATATTCTTTTTTTATGTTTATTATTTTACTCTTTTAATTTAAATATTTTTTAAAAATTATATATGATGTTTACTTGCCTTAATAGGCATGTGGTCTCACTCTCTTGCCAACTCAACCATGTTAATGCCACATAAGCATGGTCAATGGTCAGAGGGGTTTGATATATTGTGTTTTATTAAGTGTAAGAGTTCAGATGACAAAGGGTTAAGTAAAAGGGTTCACAATACAAACGGGTACAAGTATAGGTATCCACCAGACCATTTTGCCTAAATAATACGGTGGTATGTCAAAAATAAGAAGATACAAGAATAAGGCTAATACTACGACATCATCGAGAAGCCGACAAAATATTTATATTTTGTTTGGTATGGTTTAAAGTGTAGGTAATTAGGCCTATAAATTAAGCATTAAAAGTTTAGAAATAGTTTGGTATTATGCCTACCTGATTAATAATACTAACTAATGCTGCAATTTTCATAGAAGCAGTTCAGTTTGAGACTCGATGAAGGGAAAACAGGAATCCGTAAAGCTATTGAGTTCTATCGAACCTGTAAACTGTTCCGTGCCTGGTAAGCAAAGGCGCGGGAAAATGGGAATTTGGAGCTTGATGAATTTCGGCAAAGAAACTGTGAAGAAGGTATGTGAGATTTCTTACGGTTACAGCACGGAGGCTGTTAGAAAGATGGACGAAATCGTTAGAGTTAAAGACCTCGAAAAACTTGGCGAGTACATGGCGGATGATGAAGGTCGTGCTAAAATGGTTTATTTCAGTGCAAAATTCATTAAAAATGCTTCACTTTATGCATTCAAGGAAGCAGCCAACATCTTAATTCCTGGTTAGCTCCCCTCTCATTTTCCGATGCTCAACTTTTTAAATTCAGTTATGGAATTACTAGACGTTAAAAATGTGTGGCCTAGTAGTCAATGAAGTGGATTGAAAATAATAAGATTTACGTTTAAGTCTTAGCACTCAGTAGAGGCGAAAAATACTAGTTATTTCTTGTCATCTGTTCTAGGAGAAAACAAAAGCTGATTTAGATATGACAGTTATTTTTTTTTAGAGGTGAAATGGTTAAATGTTATGTTACAACATGTAAAAACGCGTAAATAGTGTTAAATTCTTTACATCGTTAGTGTATAGAAGTTAAAGCAATGAATGATTACGAATTATTAAGCTCTAGAGAAATGTAATATAATGTTTATTAGGTGAAAACGAAAGGCAGAGATTTGGGCAATGTGAGCTTTATTTTCATGTGTATACAGGTGGAAGGGCATTTGCCAAAATTTTCGCTGAAACAGTTCGTGAAATAGAAAGTGAGTCTCGAAATAATGCCACTGGCAATGTCGCGGCAGAGACGCTGAAATGCAGAGAGCTGAAGTTGGGTTCTGAAAACAGAGTTCATGTTGATTCATTTACACATCAAACACCTGAAGATGTCCTGAGATTCTTCATGATGATGGAATTTATGGGCACTCGTTATATCGACTCTTTGCTAGTTTCTGATCATGGACAACGGAACGTATAATTGAAGTAAAATTTCACTTATTGATTCTTGTATTATGAGTTTCATATGCTTGTAAGTAGTTAAATTCAAGTTACCTCTTTGTTTTCGATAGTATGAATATGGCATTACTATTTCAAAAAAATAAAAGAAAACACTTAAAATTATGTCATTGTATAACTTTGAATAATACATAAACGTGCCTTTCCAAACGGACCCTAAGTATTATGGCATTTATTCATTTATTTTGAACAAAAAACATAAATAATTTGAGACGGAGAGATTATTGTGGCCTTGTAGTAGTATAAAGTTGAAATTTTCCTTCGAAACTGTTAAGAGTGTCAAATGGGAAATGAGGGGCTACTTCATATAATTCCGATCTACTCTTCCGGGGGATGGAAGAAAAGACGGGAATTTGGGGTTTCATTACTTCCGGCAAAGAAAAGGTGAAGTATGTCTGTCATTGCATTGGCAATGGTGAAGGTCGTGCCAAAATCGTTCATTTCACTGCAAAATTCGTCAAAAATGCTTCATTTTATGCCTACAAAGAAGCAGCCAACATATTAATTCCTGGTTTGCTCCATTTCAAATAATTTAAAACTTCTATGTCCAAATTCTTGATTGTATCGTATGTTTAAATTCATTGTTAGGTAACGTAAAGTTTCTTTTATGCAGGTGGAAAGGAAATCTCCAAAATTTATGCTGATACGATTCGTGAAATAGAGACAGAGTCTAGAGAGAAACAAGACAGGTCGTGTGACAACGAAATAATTGGAAATTTGAGTAAGATAACTAATGGTACTGGTCCTGTGATATTGCTTGATGGGGCAGAGAAGCTGGAAAGTATAAGGGAGCTTAAATTGGGTTCCGAAAACAGAGTTCAAGTTGATTCATTTATATATCAAACACCTGAGGACGTCTTGAGATTCTTTATGATGATGGAATTTATGGGCACTCGTTATCTAGATAGTTTGTTGGTTCATGATAATCGTCAAGAGAACAAAGTGTAGTTTATTCTAGTATGTATTAGGACATCGAAGGCATCGATCTCGTATATGTTAGTTAGTATTACTGGATTGCTAAATCTTGGTTATTGTTTTGTTTCCTTTAAAACTCTCATGATGGGAAGCAAATCTCATAAATATGCTTTAGTGATCATAGTAAAAAAATTAAATTATTTTTTTCACTTTCGTTAGATGAAGGGTATATGTGAGCTCCTTTTGTAACGGTATGAGTATATGTGAGCAATTTATATAACCGTAAGGGTATGTAAGAGCCACTTTCATAACGAGGGGTATATCAGCTCTGAATAACAAAGTTAAGGGGTATATATCAGGCCTTTTTCCCTTAAACGAATGTCTTTTTTTCTTTTTGGGTAACTGTTTGATTTCAACTTTTCATATGACATAAATCAAGGCTAAATGACACTTTTGTACATTATACGTATCTTTGTTCGAGATACAAGTTTCAATTTTATTTCTTTTTCTTAAATTCGTGTCAAATCAAAATCAATCAAACAATTATATGTTTAAATCCGCTTCGTCCCGCGTATGCCTAAATATGCCCCACACCATATATGTCTAAAACCATCTACGTCATTGTCATTCCTATATTTTTTGACACTCTTTAATGGACATTTGATCATGAAAATAAAATAAAATATATAATTAAAATACTATTGTTGCCATTTTCCAAGAATACAAGGAGGCAAGCAAAAAAGCACAAGTTTGGTTCCACTTCCCAGTGCAGTAGCATTTTTCGAGTTTTTCGAGTTTCTGAGTTAAGCAAAGGGCAAAAATGGGAATTTGGGACTTTATAAGCTCCGGCACAGAATCGGTGAAACGGAACTCACCGGATCTAGCAACTCCGGTGACGAAGGTATGCAAAAGTACCTATTATTACAGTGCTGCCGCCGTCAGAATGATCGACAACGTCGTTCGAGTTAACGGCGTGCAGAATCTGGGTCCGTACATTTACATGCCTGATGAAGAAGGCAGGGCTAAAATCGTCAATTTCAGTGCAAAATTCGTCAAAAATGCTTCCGTTTATGCCGTCAAAGAAGCAGCCAACATCTTCCTTCCTGGTTTGCTCCCTTCCCACTAACGATAAGTCGATGTTTATACCAAATTAGAGGCAGATTGAACAAGTAGACACACCGATTTAACTAGCTAATCGAGTGAAATTTGTTACATAGAATTGTTTTATAATTCTGGAGTATGTGGTTCATGTGTGCAGGTGGAAGAGCAGTCTCCCAAATTTACTCTCAAACAGTCCGCGAAATGGAAATTGAGTCTAAAAAGAATCAAAACACGTTGTGCGACAAGGAAATAACTGGCAATTCGAGTAAGGATACCAGTAGTACCGTTCCTCCGGGATTGCTCGATGGGCCAGAGATGCTGGAAAACAGAGAACTGCAGTTAAGTTCTGAAAATAAAGTTCAGGTTGATTCATTTGCACATCAAACACCTGAAGATGTCCTACGAGTTTTCATGATGAAGGAATTTAGTGGCTCTCGTTATCTGGACAATTTGCTGGTTCCTGATCATCGACAACAGAAGAAAGATTCTAGTATGTATCTTGGCATTCTCATATATATATATATGTTTGTGTTGCTGGATTGTTCTTAGTGTATGTTTGTATGTATATCTAACTTCTAAGTTACATCTTTGTGTTGTTTGCTTTGAAAATCGCATACCGGGAACCAAGTTTTATATAGTTATCATAGACAACAATTTGAACAGCAGTTTCACGAGTTTGAATCTGTGTTACCTCTTTGTATTGCTTTGAAAATCGCATACAGGGAACCAAGTTTTATTGTTGTTTGGACATTATTAATGCTTTCTGGAGTCTGAAACTCTGAGAATTTAACAAGAAGTCGTGCAGCCATTTTGCGACTGACAACTGAAAACAGCTGCTGGTAGACTTGTTAATATTTTCTGTGTTAATGAAGTGGTTGAGAACTATGAGATTTCATGTTTAAACCCCCAGTAGAGACAAATAAACATTAGGTGGTTTCTTTCATGTCCTAGCCTTAGTGGACCTGTACTTGTTGTGGGTGGGAGGTGATAGGTATCCCGTGGAATTAGTCTAGGTGCACGCAAGCTGATCGCGATACCACGGTTATTAAAAAAAAAGAACTTGTTAAGATTGGGCAACTTTCTACACTAATTTTCAGATCAAAGCTAATTCTGTTGGTGCCATTATATATGCAATGTGTTTGAAATTACCTCCGGACTATTAAATATACCCTCCAAATCCTGTACTATAAGTCATAAGTCAATAACAGAGCCTAGCTTATTTAAGTTTTCTGGTTTACTTCCTTGTGTTTGTATTTTGCACCTAACTTATTTAAGTTTTCTGGTCTACTTCCTCATGTTTGTATTTGCACCTAGCTTATTTAAGTTTTCTCGTTTACTTCTTCGTGTTTGTATTTGTGAATAGCTTATTTAAGTTTTCTGTTTTTTATATCCTCGTGTTTGTATTTTGCGCTTAGCTTATTTAAGTTTTCTGGTTTACATCCTCGTGTTTGTATTTGCCCCTAGCTTATCTAAGTTTTCTGGTTTACTTCTTCGTGTTTGTATTTGCGCATAGCTTATTTGAGTTTTCTAGTTTACATATTTGCGCTTAGCTTATTTAAGTTTTCTGGTTTACATCCTTGTTTTTGTATTTTGTGCTTAGCTTATTTAAGTTTTCTGGTTTACTTGCTCGTGTTTGTATTTGCGCTTAGCTTGTTTAAGTTTTCTGGTTTACATCTCCGTGTTTGTATTTGTGCCTAGCTTATTTAAGCTTGCTCGTTTACTTTCTCGTGTATGTATTTTCCTGGTTTGCTTCCTCTTCTTTGTATTTTCGCTTAGCTTATTTAAGTTTTTTGGCTTACATCCTCGTGTTTGAATTTGCGCCTAGCTTATTTTAAGACTTCCTGTTTCTTATGTCATGTTGTATTTACTGTCAATGACATTCCTCCAAATAGGGTGGTCCACTTTTCTATGTTTCCTTGGAATAATTTCTTTCAATTAATTTCTTCTTTTTTCTCTTTCATTTTAGTCCAGCATTAAAGTCGGATAATCAATACTGACAAACCACCAGAAGCTGGGATGCTTAGAATAATTTTGAACCCAGTGAATGCATGATTTCTATCATTTTATCTCAATGTCATTTGCAGTAATTGGTTCTTCCAAACTTATTGTCCTTGGTCAACACAAGAAGTTCTTGTTCCTAGAGTTTGTCTGGAAGGACCTAAACATAATAGAGAACACGAATCGAGCATGGGATATATTTTACTCACTTCTTTAAAAAAATGTGGGTCTTATCTGATGTCTGGGGTAAGGGGTAGGTCAGGGAATGGGGTATGATTAGGAGAATGATAATTTGGGCTGCTTAGTCCCAACTCACTCCCATCTTTGGTATATGTATGGGGAAGGGCGCTAGGTGCAAATAATCTTTTGCTCCAAATAAAAAGCTCGTGGATTTGTTATCCTGGCTAATCTTGAGAAACATCTTACTCTATACCCCATCCAGCACAGGCTCCCTTCCCTTTGAATTTTGATCACACTTTGTTTAAAGTTTTGTAATCTAATGTTATGACTGATTTAGGATATGATAGTCACAAGATTGGAATGCTTATTACGGTTATGCCGTTAAGCTCATGCACAATTCATGTGATACTTGTTTTTCCAACGTCCTCCAGGATTCCTGGTCACATCAGCACTTCCATCCTTAATGTTATTATAGTCCCACCCAATCCTGTCTACAACCAAAATGGTGTCACCCCTCCGTTGATTTGTTGAGGTCCTTTCAGTATTGACCAGTTGTTTGGGATTTTGGATAATGCAAACAGCTATATGTTGACCCATTCGTCCTTGGAACTAGCTCTACTTGATACTTTTCTCAAGTCGAGATTATAATCTTAGCCTTTTGGATTGATATACTAATTGGATTTCAATTGTTTCTGCAGGTGGGAGTAAAATCGTTAAGGAAAGATCGAAGGATAAATTGCCTTCACGTCCTAGACTTGACAAACAAGATTTTACTGTTATGAGGGAGGAGATGCAAGCAAAGATGGAGAAACTTCAGGATGACATGAACAACATGAAGCAGCAAAATGAGGCGTCAGCTAAGTGTACCAACGGATTAGATTCCTTCGAATTCTCTGACGAGCCTATCAAGAGTTCAACGCCTACAAAATCTAAACCAAAAAATGTTTTAATTCGTTCTCGAATGTAGAAAACAGTAAAATCATGGCAATGAGGAAGCTACACTTTCATCTTTCTTGACAATATAGGTTGTGCTTCTGTAATTTTCTTGTGATTTGTGTTATAACTCTGTAATACATGTATTATATGATCATATAGAAGTATTAAACTGGTATTATGATGTGCTTAACCACATTGCCTGATGTTTGGACATTATTAATGCTTTCTGGAGTCTGAAACTCTGAGAATTTGCACTACCAGACACATAAAAACTAAAGTATGCATTTCAAATTCCAAAAACAATATTAGTTTCATTTATAGCTGGGGTTGTGTGATACCTCAACTTAAGACAAGAAGTCGTGCAGGCGTAAGCTCAAAGCAAATAATATCCCCAACATCTCTAGGCCTTACACACTTAAGTGTGAGGCTTGTCTTCTTCTCGACCCTTAATTAACAACATGAAGAAGTGGTTCGATATTTAAACACTTGAAAGTTCCTTTATCCTATCAATGTGAGAGAAAGACTCTTTCAATAAGTGAAGTTATTTTTTCACATTCCCTCCATTTTCTATTCATTTTCAACACTAGAACCCAACGTGAAGAACTTTTGGAAATTAGCTTGATAAAGTTGATAAACTCCAAGAAGTAATTATCAATACAATTATTTTTTATTATTAATCCTTCCGTCTAAAACACTATATGCAAACCTGCCTAAGCTTGATCTATAGATCAACGAATCAGGAGATGACTTCTTAAACATTTGCAGATGGAAAAGATGTATTTGAGCAAGATACTTGTGCTCATGAATTAGGTATGTCATATTGAGGCTACAATTTCAAGTTCTTTTATAATTGAAAATAAATTCATTAGTGTCTGAGTCGTAGCTTATTAAAATAGTCTAGTTTTAAAAGTAATTATTCGATCATTCCCTTGTTTGAAATTAGTTTAGAAAATTCACACTCTCAAATGCCTTGACACACACATACTCCTCTTGGGGTCAACCTCAACTTTTTGTTAGGTTTATTATTGCTACGATCATATTATATTTCACTTTGAGGTATAGGATTGGATGTGACAATTTTGATGGTCAGGTTAACAATAATTCCTTAAATATGCATTGAGCAATTTTTGGTTAGTATTTTAAGTCTTCGTCAAATATTTATCGAACTGTGGAAATATTTTTTAATTTTTACATATAAGAGATTTTCATCTTTCCACGTAAAAAAATCTTTAAAAAATTATGTTTCTCTATTTAAATTATATAAGAAAACAAAGAAATCTCGTTTCCTCTCATTTTTTTTAAACTACCTTCAAAACATATAGTTTTTGCCACTTTCTCTCCATATGTCACAAAAGATAACTCTGAAAATAAATAAATAAATAAATAAATAAATAAAATTGACTCGATTTGCTTGAGTTTAACACAAATGGCAAGAATTGGCATTTGCAATTTTGTACTCACCAAAAATAAAATAAAATTAGAGCTTATGACAGAATATTTTACTTTAGTACATTTCAGTAAAGTAGCATGACAATATGGTTGAACTACATTTTTTCCCCTAATTTTTTTAATTAGGTAAAAGAATAATGAGTGATTTTTTGGTTTACCACTAAAAGTTGTGGCGGAATAATGTGTATTATTTTATTTTTAATTAAAAAATTTGAATTCAATTTTTGAATATGAAGTTGTTTTTAATAAATAAATAATTCTACCTTATAAAAATAAGGTTTTTTTTTTTACACAACTCACGTGTCAACAATTGATCCCTATCTATTTTTTGTTTTTGGTTTTTATTTTGAACTAATTTATTACTAGACACATTAAGCAATATTCTTCCAGGGGTGAAGTTTAAAAATTATAATTTAGGAGGTAATAAAAATATTTGAAAGTTTAAATATGAAATTTGTAAAATAATATTGGTTTAGATAGACTTTATGCATTATTTCTAAGTTTAAATGATACAAATACGTTGTTTTTTTTTTTAATACACTCTATCAAACGATGGCTAAATTAATGTCAAATAAATAACGGGCTGAAACATCTATTGAAACGTCAGACGGATAAATATGGAAAAATAGTCTTTTTCATATATTAGGTAAAGAGGGGACGAAATAGCAGCAAATTTTCTTGTGGATAACAGGTAATGGGCATTATACAACAATTCCGAGCAGTCGCCGGGAAACTTTTCAACCGGAGAGGACAAGAGAAACCGTCAGATGCATATGCTTCAGAAGGTGAGTACAGTGGTGGGGTTTCATCGCCGGTGACCAAAACCAGCAGCCCGGTCAAGTATGACGGAACTCAATCCGATGAGTACGTTTTTTACCCGGATGGCCGGGAGAAGATTAGCGACATTCTCTGCAAGCTCCGTAAATTCGCTATTGTCTCTGCCGTTGACGAATCTCTCAAAACTGTCGCCAGTTAGAATCCTTTTCTCTCTCTGCTCATTTTTTTTTTTTAGCAATTCGGCATTTATATTGTTCAATTTTGGTGTTGACTCAATTTCTATTAGCTCTTTGATAGAAGAATTGATAAGGTTGAGCTGTATTTTATGTAAATAGGTTGTCAATTGGTTGAATTGATTTCATCTCCTAAGCTTCGTGTGTTAGGGGAAAGTCATACAGTTTTGTTATGCAATATATTGTTGAGTATGTGCGCTATATTTCCTGTGTAAATGTGAGATCCAGGCCATTTTGTGACTGACAACTGAAAACAGCTGCTGATAGACTTGTTAATATTTTCTGTGTTAATGAAGTGGTTGAGAACTATGAGATTTCATGTTTAAACCCCAGTAGAGACAAATAACATTAGGTGGTTTCTTTCATGTCCTAGCCTTAATGGACAGAGTTACCTGTACTTGTTGTGGGTGGGAGGTGATAGGTATCCCGTGGAATTAGTCTAGGTGCACGCAAGCTGATCGCGATACCATGGTTATTAAAAAGAAAAGGAACTTGAGATTGGGCAACTTTCTACACTAATTTTCAGATCAAAGCTAATTCTGTTGGTGCCATTGTATATGCAATGTGTTTGAAATTACCTCCGGACTATTAAATATTCCCTCCAAATCCTGTACTATAAGTCATAAGTCAATAACAGAGCCTAGCTTATTTAAGTTTTCTGGTTTACTTCCTTGTGTTTGTATTTGCACCTAACTTATTTAAGTTTTCTGGTCTACTTCCTCATGTTTGTATTTGCACCTAGCTTATTTAAGTTTTCTCGTTTACTTCCTTGTGTTTGCATTTGCACCTAACTTATTTAAGTTTTCTGGTCTACTTCCTCATGTTTGTATTTGCACCTAGCTTATTTAAGTTTTCTCGTTTACTTCCTTGTGTTTGCATTTGCACCTAACTTATTTAAGTTTTCTGGTCTACTTCCTCATGTTTGTATTTGCACCTAGCTTATTTAAGTTTTCTCGTTTACTTCCTTGTGTTTGCATTTGCACCTAACTTATTTAAGTTTTCTGGTCTACTTCCTCATGTTTGTATTTGCACCTAGCTTATTTAAGTTTTCTCGTTTACTTCTTCGTGTTTGTATTTGTGAATAGCTTATTTAAGTTTTCTGTGTTTTATATCCTCGTGTTTGTATTTTGCGCTTAGCTTATTTAAGTTCTGGTTTACATCCTCGTGTTTGTATTTGCCCCTAGCTTATCTAAGTTTTCTGGTTTACTTCTTCGTGTTTGTATTTGCGCATAGCTTTTTTGAGTTTTCTAGTTTACATCCTTGTTTTTGTATTTTGTGCTTAGCTTATTTAAGTTTTCTGGTTTACTTGCTCGTGTTTGTATTTGCGCTTAGCTTGTTTAAGTTTTCTGGTTTACATCTCCGTGTTTGTATTTGTGCCTAGCTTATTTAAGCTTGCTCGTTTACTTTCTCGTGTATGTATTTTCCCCTTGCTTGAAGTTTTCTGGTTTACTTCCTCTTCTTTGTATTTTTTATTAGCTTATTTAAGTTTTTTGGCCTACATCCTCGTGTTTGAATTTGCGCCTAGCTTATTTTAAGACTTCCTGTTTCCTATGTCATGTTGTATTTACTGTCAATGACATTCCTCCAAACATGGTGGTCCACTTTTCTGTGTTTCCTTGGAATAATTTCTTTCAATTAATTTCTTCTTTCTTCTCTTTCATTTTAGTTCAGTATTAAAGTCAGATAGTCAATACTGACAAATCTCCAGAAGCTGGGATGCTTAGAATGTTGAGCCCAGTGAATGCATGATTTCTATCATTTTGTCTCAATGCCATTTGCATTAATTGGTTCTTCCATACTATTGTCCTTGGTCAACACAGGAAGTTCTTGTTCCTAGAGTTTGTCTGGAAGGACCTAAACATAATAGAGAACACAAATCAAGCATGGGATATTTTTTACTCACTTCTTTAAAAAAAATGTGGGTCTTATCTGATGTCTGGCGTAGGGGGTAGGTCAGGGAATGGGGTATAATTAGGAGAATGATAATTTGGGCTGCTTAGTCCCAACTCACTCCCATCTTTGCTATATGTATGGGGAAGGGCGCTAGGTGCAAATAATCTTTTGCTCCAAATAAAAAGCTCATGGATTTGTTATCCTGGCTAATCTTGAGAAACATCTTACTCTATACCCCATCCAGCACAGGCTCCCTTCCCTTTGAATTTTGATCACACTTTGTTTAAAGTTTTGTAATCTAATGTTATGACTGATTTAGGCTATGATAATCACAAGATTGGAATACTTATTACTGTTAAGCCGTTAAGCTCATGCACAATTCATGTGATACTTGTTTTTCCAACCTCCTCCAGGATTCCTGGTATCAGCACTTCCATCCTTAATGTTATTTTAGTCCCACACAATCCTGTCTACAACCAAAATGGTGTCACCCCTCCGTTGATTTGTTAGGTCCTTTCAGTATTGATCAGTTGTTTGGGATTTTGGATAATGCAAACAGCTATATGCTGACCCATTCGTCCTTGGAACTAGCTCTACTTGATACTTTTCTCAAGTCGAGATGATAATCTTTGCCTTTTGGATTGATATACTAATTGGATTTCAATTGTTTCTGCAGGTGGGAGTAAAATCATTAAGGAAGGATCAAAGGATCAATCGCCTTCACGTCCTAGACTTGACAAACAAGATTTTACTGTCATGATGGAGGAGATGCAAGCAAAGATGGAGAAACTTCAGGATGACATGAACAACATGAAGCAGCAAAATGAGGTGTCAGTTAAGTGTACCAACGGATTAGATTCCTTCGAGTTCTCTGACGAGCCTATCAAGAGTTCAACGCCTACAAAATCTAAACCAAAAAAGGTTTTAATTCGTTCTCGAATGTAGAAAACAGTAAAATCATGGCAATGAGGAAGCTGCACTTTCATCTTTCTTGACAATATAGGTTGTGCTTCTGTAATTTTCTTGTGATTTGTGTTATTATAACTGTATAATACATGTATTATATGATCATATAGAAGTATTAAACTGGTACTATGATGTGCTTAACCACATTGCCTGATGTTACTTAGACACGCATCGTGCTTACTCTTTTTTCAACAATACTTAAGTATTATTTTTCATCGTCATTAATATTTTAAACTTTGTGAACTATCAAACACTATTATGAAATACTAAGTACTTGGACCAACTAGGTTACGAAATATATGCAAAGTGTATCGGTAATGTCTATTTGTACTAAAGATACATATAATATATACATATCTATACTCAATATATAGATAGATTTTGATCATGTTGATAAACTAATAGGCAGAATGGTATATAACTTGTAACTTTTAAAAACACTATTTACTTGACTGACTGAACTTAAATACCCCTCGTATCTTGCAACTTGAGTGAAATACACCCCTAAATTCTCGTCAAATTTAGAGGTGTTTTTAACACTTTTTTCAGGTTTTTATCAAGCGTTTCATGCTCGTAGAAGACCACATACCATTTCATGTGACAGATCGAGGGTGTATCTAAGTTTAGTTAGTCAAGTAAAAATGTGTTTTTAAGGTTGTCAATAGTTTGGTGACGAAACTAATAATTTGTGTCAAGTTTAGAAGTGTTTTCAATACTTTTTTTTTACCTGGGTGGGTTCACTACTAGTGCTAGTTCAAATTGGATTGGGCCTTGGCCCAAATCTCAAGGCCCAGGATGCTCCTTAATAGCCATCGGAAAAGAAATGCAGCTTTTCGTATTCTGGTAACTTCAATCACTGTGTCACCCTCATTGAGAAGATCTCCGATCGTCAAATTACAAAGATGGCGGCGTGGACAGCGGCGGCGCGTCAAGCTTCAGCCCTCTCTCGACTATCGGCTTCCAAATCAGTGAACACAACCCGCCAAGGCGCACTCCTCATCCAGCGGCGCGGTCTATCCGGCGGTGGTGGTAATTTTTCCCCTTTTTATATAATTTTTAAAAAAAATTGCAGTGAAATGAAACGAGCATGAAAAGTGGAAAATTGCTAAATGCGAGTTTAATTGATTGATTTACGCATTTGCTTTAGATTTCTGGAACTTATTGAATATAGGACTTATATATATGATCTCAAGTTAAAAATATGTTGTAATTACTTGCTAATTAGTATTATTTTGGTTTATTAGAACGTAGACACACTAGATTTGGCTTTGGTTAGCTTTGCTTATCAAATTACTAAATGATAATTCATACTCCTTCCATCCCATTTTAAGTGTCTTAGAGCCCAAAAGATATGCTCCCTTGTTTCATTTTGTTTGTCTTATTAGTCCATTTAAAAAATAATGTTTTTTTCATTTTTTTACAAATCTTTAATTTCAACTTTTCATCTTACATGTTTAAGACAGACATACATTCTACATATCATTAGTTTTAAACCACATGATTTAAAAGTTTTATTTACTTTCTTAAACTCCGTTTCAAGTTAAAACCACAAACAAATTGAAACGGAGGGAGTGTTTCAAAATATATGTTTGACAACCAAGACGATGTTTCTTTTCAATTTTACCCTTACTATTGAAGATGTCACAAGTGATTAATAATCCTTACTTCCCATTTTAAGTGTTGGCTAAGGTTTTAGCTTGCCCTTTAAAAAATATTAAGTATAGTGTAATTTTTAGTAAATTACCAATACTTGTTTATTATTTTCTCTCACCTTATTATTCCCGGTAGTACTCACTCTATTAATCCACAGAGAAAACATCTAGAGCACAAGGTTATTCCCATCTTTATGACATTGTCTAGAGTTAGAACTGCTTCCTTTGCCAACAACCGGACAAAGCAGGATACTGTGGTTTAGAACTGCTTAGCTCAGTGCTCCTTTCTATGTAGTGTGATTTAGTGCGTTGGCCATTGAAGAGACTGAAGGACTGACAGCTTCACATAAATGATTTGAAGTGCAATGTTTTCTGCTATTCAAATTAATATTCAGATTTATATGCTATATTTACAGGAGTTTTTCTAGTTGGTTGGAGGTTGTATGACAATGTACAATAGGCTTGAGATTTAGAGAACCTCTAACCAAACTAGAAGGACTCCTGTTTGCTCCTAATTTCTTTAGAGGACAAATACTGAGTAGAGGGGTCTAGCTGGACTTAGAAGATTCATATAGCTGAGCCAACTAGATTGGTGTTGAAGAGTAGTAGTTATATTACATTTTACTGTCTTAATTGGCCTATATGTATCTTCTAGCTTTATTGCTTCTATTGTATATTAGTTCTTGTTTGAATTTAGTTTTTTAACCCATATGCTCATTCAAAGCTACTTAGGTAAGATAGAATGGAAATAATTTATTTGAACTTTATCTTCAACAATTTAAAATTGAGAAAATTGGTATGTGACACAAAAGTGAGGAAAACGGTGAGTAGTAATCTGTTATCAAGTTCCTGGCTTTGTTTGTCATGTGTAAACAATGCAAGCCCTAATGGCATTTGGAATATGGTTTTGGAATGCAATTGTACCGTTCAGCATATTCATGGCTAAGTTATTCTTTGTTATGCAGACCATCATGGTCCTCCAAAGGTGGACTTTTGGCAGGATCCAATGAGCCCATCAAAATGGAAAGAAGAGCATGTGAGTTTTTCTGAATATTTACAGTTCTCTTTTCTACTTGTTTAAGCTGTCTTAGGTTTGTTTGGTGGTTGTCTTTGATGTTATCTTCTTGCCTGCTCTGAAACTGTCGAACTTCTTCTTGTTCACTGTTTATGACTTGTTTTCTTGTTACTTTTTCATCTTATCGTCATGCTTGTGTTGTTTAGAGCCTTTGACTGCTGAATACGTTATGTTTATGGACATGAACTATTCTGTCTCTTGGTGGCTTCTGACCTTAATTCTAGTGATATTTTGTGACGTTGCTTGTGCCTTGTGAAGTGGAAGTTACATGCTATTTGTATGATCAATGGTACATCTGTGCGGTAATTCTGCATCTGTCTTCTGTGAACTAAGGCAGAAGCCTTACAAATGAGCATGCAACTTGTGTTCCTCATTTCCTGCCATCTTTCTAGTCCCAGTACCCTAAGTATTCAGGCTTCATGAGCCCTAGCCCTCTTACCCACCACAACACCTAACTTCTCGAGATAGGCAATGTGGTAGTTTTTGGAATAGGTTTTGCAGCAGCGGTGAAAAATGCTTTGGAGGAGAAGTGGGGATAAAACTATTGTATCCAAGAAGAAAAACGGAGAAATGGGGATAACACTATTGTATCCAAGAAGAAAAAAGAACCTTTTTTTTTGAGGAAGCTAACAATTTTATTTCTATTAAACAAAACTTAGACACTCCAAAAAAGTGCTAAGTTGAGATCTTTACAAAAAAGGCTAAAAGGCACAAAAGACCACTGTCCAAAAGCCTATATTCTTATACATTGCCAAATGCCAACTAAATAAACTAAGAAAAAAGAATCTTTTGGGGGATGATTGCTAGCCAGTTCAAACTTATGGTTCCAAAATCTCACAAATAATTTGCCAGGCTTTTTCCAAAAGCCCGTAAACCTTCAATCCAGGAGCTTTGAACATTTGTGTGGATGAGTGCCTCCTCTTAATTTAGTTGGAATTGAAAAAGGCACTTGTATTTAATATGTTGGGAAAAATTGGTAGCTTCTAGCCTTCTACATGTCCTGCGGTGGGGATGCTTGTTGAAAATGGGGGACAGAAACAGCTTGAGGGAGAGAAGAGTTAGTGATGGCCTTGAGGAGGTTGATGTAGGGGGTGTCCAATGCCAGATTCTCTATAGGGAGTTGTAGGCGGAGAGAAAAGAGGCGATGCCAGTAATGTTAGTTGAAGGTTGGACTTCCGTTATAGACCATTATTTAGGAGATTTTTTTCTCAATTTTACCCGTGAAATTTGTGTGTTTTCGAGTAATGTTTTAGTGGGCTGGGTACTATATAAAAAACGAATGTCATACATAAAGATTAATGATTCGATATACTATTGTTTTGATCAACTCTCCATCATCTTTTCTAAAATTACCTTATCCATTGTTTGTGATTTGATCTGTCAGTATACTCGGTGGAGTTGTATGCTGCTGGTGTTCACACATGGTGGTATTTTATTTACTTTTACAGAACAAATAAGACAGTTTAGAGTTAGCAGTAACATACAGGTTAATTGGTCAAGTGTTAACCTTTTGTTGTAGAGGTCTAGTTGAAGGCGTCCTGAATGTTAAGCCATTTGCTACTCTGATATTACCAAATCGTCAACATCATGGGTTTTCTATCACATTTTTGTACACATTGTTATGGTGATTGCATTACTCTTTATATTCTTCCGGTGTTACTGGGGTCAGAATTTGACCGAGTGTATGCTAATACAAACACCTCCAGTGTACATCATAAACTTGTAAGTTTGATTAGGAACTTACATCTTTTGCAGTTTGTGATAGTGTCTCTTACTGGTTGGGGTTTGGCCTTCTATGGAGGTTATAAGCTCTTCACAGGAGGAAAGAAAGAGAAGAAGGAAGAGGTACACTTCATCTGTTATTAAACAAGGGTTTTGGAATTTTTTGTTGCTATTAATATTTATTCAACACTTTGTTTGAAGCAAATAGGAAATTTAGTTTCTATGTTCTTATACTGAGTCCAGTCAAATGGCTGTAGAATATGCTTGGAATTTCAAATCTATTTTAAACTATTTTGCAACCATCTAGCTGACTGAAATTTGGTCTAGTATTCACCACATAGGGTTTGTTTGGTACATAGGAAAATGTTTTTCCACAGAAAGTATTTTCTTGGTAAATAAGTGGTCTTCTCACTTATTTTATCATGTTTGGTAAATAAGTAAAAATTATATTCGTGAGAGCATTTCTATATAATCTAAGCAAACACTAAGAAGGGAGTGTTTGGGCACGGTGGTGGGGTGGAAGTATTGGTGCGGGGAGTGTGTATCTGACTCCCAAAACAATTATATTAACCTACATTTAACCATATCGGACATCCTTTGTTCCATTTTAAGATTTGAAACAGTGACAATAGGATAGAAATTGTTAAGTGACGGGTGGGGGTTGGGAGAAGACAATCAGTGGAATACCATTTATCGAACTTTTTTTCCCTACTCTAATTAGGTAAGTCATTTAACCTTAAAAAATAGAACTTAGAGCTAATGTAATCAAAGCAAATCTTACATTATGTATATGTAATATAAATTTGTGTACCATCTTCACTTTGAGAAGAACTGATATTCTCAAGCTACTTGAAATTTGGTCTCTCTATATACATCCTCTGATTTACTTAAATCTCTTTGCAGAAATGATCACACTGACGTCAGGTTGTCTCTATTCACCGGCAATAAAGTAGTGTAAGTTGCTAGGTCTTTGTGGCCTTGTTCAAGCCAATATGAGGATGTAATTTGTCGTCCCCTATCCATTCCATTCTAGCTTTGAACTTCGAGTTGTACATGAAATGTTGGTCTAACAATCAACTATGAGTTCTTTTCCTGAATTGATAATCCATTTAATAACTATCACCATGAGTATGTTGAGGAGATGCACAACGCAGGATTATGTTCATAATCGTTCTATACATTACCCCCTCCTCCTCCTCCTGCGTCTGTACATTGAATTTCTTATTGTGAGTTCAATATGCCCTAGTGAGCCAAATGCATCTGAGGTGTGTGACACCGATAACAACATAACTAGTGTAATCCTGCAAGTGGGATATGGGTTGTGTGGTGTGTATGTCGCCTTACCCCGTATCTTGTGAAGGTGTGACACTATGTTACATTGTTCAAAGAAAATATGCCAGGTTGAGATGTTTTTATTGATGCATCCTCATGAGTCTATCGATAAAAATGTTTATGATGTGCATAATAAATGTATACATAGCGTATAATGTATGTCTTGGCTGGTGTATTTTACATTAAAACGAGAACAAAAAAAGTACATTTTGGTTATTAAATGTCAATTGAAATTCGATTGAGAGATCATTTGTGTACTTCAAGTACATTCAAAACATAAGTACTATATGTGGAGTTATAATCTCATTAAGTATTTGAGTCTTGACATTTAAGTAGAGCACATGCAAGAGAAATAAATGAGTTGAAGCTTTCTATTTCCCCTATATTGGTTGTGACTTGTGAGGCACAATTTACCCATATTCTTTCAACAAATTAATTCTTCGTCGTCGTCTGTTTAACAATAGTTGTCAACTATTGACTTGGTACACACCTGAAACAATAGATAATAGGGGTAATCGTGACACAAAAAGGTAAATTATATCTTGATTTTTCAAACTGAATAAATATTGTTGGACAATTGTTTTTAGTATAGTGAACAAGTAATGATGGCGGAGGGAGTATTCAAACTCTCTTTCAATCTTTCTATGATATTTATGTACCTTAGTGTATTGAAACTTCAATTAAACTCTATCTAAATTTATTTTTGCAACATTACTTTTAGTTCTTTGATTCAGACTCCCTAACTAATTCATGACTTCACAATGTGAATTTATTAATATTAGGCGTATATTCAGACATAGAATTATTCAAATTCATAAATACAGAATAAAATTCTAAATAGAAAACTTGAACAATCAATCATATCAATGTTACATCCATTTTCACGTAGAAATGTTAGAAATAAACTATTTGAAAGATAGAGATTGGCTGTAAACTTCATCTCTCTTCGAACCTCAAGGAGTTTTTCCAAAATTGAAATGTGCATACACTTTTGTCAAAGTAGAATCACGTGTGTACTTGATGTATAAATCAAACAACACTTTTACAAACTAAATATATTTTCTTCTAAACTTTCCTAATTTTTTTTCTTTTTGCAAGTGAGCACGCACACATAGACACACTTATATATGTGTTTAGTTTTTTTATCTTGTATACTTTTTAATGGTGTAAAAATTGTTTAAGACTGTAATTCGAAACATAATTTTTCTCAATTTTTTCTTTTGTATTTCCATTGGGGGCTGACTAAATTCAGATTTGCACTATAGGGCTCATTTTTGTAGGTGCTGCTTTCAATAGAATTTTTTTCATTCCTAGAAATTCGAACATGAGATGATCTCTGATTAAAAGTGGAGGGACCCGAACGGATCTCATCACAATCTATTTTGGTTATTTTTTCCAAATTAGTCATTCAACTCAAGTGTGAAACTTTCATTAAACTCTGTCCAAATTTCTTTTTGCATGCACCATACATTGACATGAACTCTTCTTTGATTCAGACGTCCTAACAAATCCATGACTTACTCAAATACACAATTAGAACTTATTATATCGACTTGATTTATTTTGTATGATATTTTGATGACTTGACTATATCTTTAATTTGAAGGGCCTTGCAAATTCTTACAACAACGTATTCAGTATAATTTTACCAATAGGAATTTGAGTAGAATATGATATACACAAGATCAAATCTTATTCTGTCTTTATAGGTAGAATGATTGTTTTTTGATAGACCTTCGGATAAAAAATGTGTAACTAAAGTAGGATAAATTAAAAAGGAAGATAACGATCATAAAATAGCAAAATAATTAAAGCAAATTAAGTAAAAGGTAATAATAAAATTGAATAGTCTTACAAATTCTTATCTCTCAAATTCTCAAATGGATTTTAAGTGTCAAGTTTGAAAAGTCCTACCTACGGGTCTCTACTTGTTTATATGTTCTTTTATTATTTTTTAAATATCTAATAAAATGATTATTATTTTTTTGGGGTGGGGGTGGGGGGTGACTTTTTGATTGTGTATTGAATGTAGGTCATGTCCTTTAGACTTTTGAAATAAGGATAATTAATTAATTTGAAAGTTAAACTTACGATTTAATAGCGCCTTGAACAAGGAAATGGTGAATCGTCTTGATCTAACACATATGAACTTCTTAGACATTAAACTTGAAACTTCTCTTATATGAATCAGAAATCACTAGTTCATATATAATATTCAGAAGAACTCGTTACTCATATAATAAAAAAAATGTAATCCTTCAATAAAGAAATTCAATCGAACCCCTTCGGACCATGTATACCTCCACTAATATAAGCTCTTCATGATGATTGATGAGGACTTTACTCCACACACATACATATATTGCTACAAAATTGAAGTTGGAAACAACATTAATTCATGTATACAACATGAATCTATATAATTAAAATAGAAAGAGAAGAGAAAAAAGATATTGATATAACTAATTATGTATAAGACTTGAGAATTGCACCACAAAAACAACAAACAATAGCCTTCCAAGATTTCCAATAAAAAGGGATGTAACAAAATCTTGTAAGTGTACACATATCAGCCACATGGGCACTGCAATTGCATCTTGAACAAGAACAAGCTATTGGTTTACTATTTTTCATTATTCTCTTTTGATCCACCAAAAAACAAAAGCACACCATCAAAAAAGAACTTTAATATATTTACTTGCTATATAAAAAGTATATAGTAGTAAATGGAAGAGCAAATTCAAAAAAACTCTATACTTTTGATAAAGTCAAGTCACCTTGGGCTTGGAGGATCTAAAAGAGTGGTGGTGGCTTTTATAATAAGCTTTATATAAGTTCTAGAAGGTGTGGTTCTTTTTTTCTCTTTCAAATATTTCTATTATTATATTATTTTGGGGAAAGACAAAGGAAAAGATGAAATTTGATCGTCTTAAATTACTGAGTCAATCACTAATCTTGAGTTTAAGGGATTTGAAATTCATATGTATATAGATGGTTCGGGTTAACACTCTCGAGTCTTCCCGGATCACACATCGTGTGTGAAATAAAATATCAATGTACAATTACTAGTAGGGGGGTACATAGTGGTAATTTCACATGACGACCTAGTATTTTGACGTCTCATTTATTTTTATTAAGATTAAGACATTTGAATATGAATATGCATTTGACTAATATATGTATTAAGATAAACATGACTGAATCTAAATATTATACATTTGAATATATAAAGATCTTAATACTAATGAGACAAAGTGGGACCCACTTACTTTTTCTCTTCAACTTTTGACAGTTTACGCGCGGACAACTTTTTTATTTGCCACGTCAGCCGCTAAGATGGTATTTAATTCAGTTGAAAGATGTTTAAGGGGGTATTTAATCACCCGCATAGTTTAAGTGCTAAAATAAGTTTTCCTGCCAAGTTCAGAGTTTTTTTTTATGTATTTTCTCAATTTATATATAGGTGTTTGTTATGTGAAATAATTAAACTTTTTTACTCTTGATTTTTTTAATTGGAGATTTTTTACTTCTAGTTAAATGGAGGATTTGGACTTTACCATATCCACCCATTTAAGTGATTTGTTAGATGAAGAACTAGAACAAAGTAGGAGAGAGCAAAACGAGAAAGAATGGATGGCTCTATGCCGGATAGCAGGTAAATACATTTTAATGTATTATGAAAATTACTTATTCAAAGAACCTTGTCGTACATTAAGGTGCTCCGAGTATATATTTATTCAAGAGATATTACAAGGAAATGAAACTCATTGTTATGAAAATTTTCGATTAAAGAAGATGGTGTTTGTTGATCTATCCAAAGATTTAAATGAAAAATATGGACTTAAGCCCATGGGCGGAGCTACGTAGGCTCAAGGGTGTCCAATTGGACACCCTTCGTCAAAAAATTATACTATATATACACGTAAAATTTTGACTTAATATTGGTATATATAGAATTTGGACCCCCTGAAATAACAAAGTGATGCGCAGTGGAGTTGGCAATAGCCTGTGCAATCCTACTTTTTGTCCCGGTTCGATTCCCCGCAGGGTTGTTTTCTTTTTCTGTAACAATTTCGACTTCTTCAATTCAATTAAGTAAATAAACATGCGTAATTTTAACATAAAAGTTCAATAGCTTGGTGGTTAATAGTATCATGAAGGTCTCCAAGACCCAAGTTCGAATCCCTCCTCTACTAACTATTTTTTTTCAATTAAAATTGAATTATTTCCTTAAATTTTAATACCTTTTCCTTATGGAATAAGATTTCCTTAAATTTTAATACTTTTCCCTTATGGAATAAGGTTTTCTTTCTCTATAAATAGGAGACTCATTTACCCAAATATCACAATATTATTAAGAATAGAATCTCAATAATTCTCTCTCTGTTTTTTCTTCTCGTTCTCTTATTTTATAACAAAAATAACCAACTTAATATTTTAGTTTCAAGTTTCAATAGACATGACGAATTATTATAATAGAGTACCAAAAAAAAGTTCGACTTCTCGAAGTCAACCAAATAAAGAAAGAACGGTAGATCAATTAGAGATGTTGTCACATTCTTCTCAACAACAAAGCATTGATTTAAATACTCTAAAAATGACTTGCAAAATCTAATGGATGATGAGTTTTTAGACGGTTGTATAGTGTCTTATGTAGAAAAGAAAGTATTTTGTACTATTTCTAATTGAGTCTATTATAAAAATGTTTCAGGATATGAAACCTCGTCGAGTACAATTGTAATAATATATTTAAATTATGTTTTCAATAGTAGTTTATTTTCTTTATGTTAGTTTTGAACTATACACTTGTAATT